TTACAACAAACTCGAGAAAGGTTTGCAAGTGGATCTAATGACATGCAGAAGCCACAAATCACAGCTTGTTATTAGTACACATGGAACCAAATCGGCATAATTGAGTTGGAATTCCCATAATAAGCTGCAATAATAAAAAATTGCTAGTCAAGGTCTATGTCATTACATGGGTACTAATGAAATAGAATTGCATCATTGTAGTTTTAGTTTAATCCACTCGAAGGCAGCTTTTGCGATTGCAGTCATGAAACTTGAATTATTAATATTACATTTCCAAAATGGTTATGGGTCATGGAGTCTATGTTAATCAACCTTCATTGTGAGTTGTGAGTTTGTAACCAGAATTAGAGAATGCGGCCTTCCTATTTAGCTTAACTCACATTATTACAATTTTACTCGAAGCCATATCTAGTCTATCATTTATTTGATTTGCCATTTTCTTATTTGTTGTCAACTATGTTAAGATTATCATTGTCTTTGGCATTATGTCATTATGTGATTATGTCATTTGTTATTATGTTATGCCTCTTTATCATTATGATTACATTGGTAGTATGATCCTTGTTAGATGTTCTTATTTTCATGAATGACTACAGATTAAATGAATTAAACAATTATCTATTTAGAAGGATAGAGCCGGTTATCTTTTTATATTTTTTATTATGAACATAGATTTTGAATGATCAATATTTATATTACTAAAAGACACTTTTTAGATACTTTTTACAAAATCAATAATCTTAGTTACTCTAAATCTTGATCATTCAATTTTGGAATGGATAATAAAAGATATGTGAGGATAAGTGACTCTATCCTTCTTAGTAAATAGACTACTTGTTTAGGGAGATAGTTACACCACCCCATCAACAAAGATGGATGAATATGATTTGAAATTGCTTTAAGTTCTTAGAATTTAGAAGTTTTAGCTGCTTTAAACTTTATTCATTCAAATATGTTGCTAGATGGTGCAAGACATGAATGGAGAATGTACTAATATCCATTTTGAAAGATAGAGCTATTTATCCTCACCTATTTTTCATTCTCCATCTTAAATTTTGAATGACTAAGATTTAAGATACCTAAGAGAACCTGTTTACTTTTTTTCTATCACAGTTTCTATCTTTTAGCTATTAAAGATATGTAAGGACATGAGCTGGGTGTAGTTTTTCTTTGTTGGATGGTGTGTGATGTACTACATGAATGGAATGCTATCCATTTAGTGTATTTAAACTACTTATCCACAACAAAAATGTATGGCCAATGTTTTAAAATTGCAAATTCTTTGGAAATGTAAAAAATCAGCTAAATTTTAGCATTCAAATACATTTATGGATGGTATAAGATACTCCATTTAGAAGGATTGAGTTATATATTCTCACACATATTTTCACCATGCTTGTCAAATAATGACTAAGATTTGAATTAACAAACTTTCTTTTAGTTATTTTGCCCGAATGTGAAAAGTGGAAAGTTGCGTTAGGTAGTCGACAGCCTGCGTAAACTTGTCGAAAAAAAATCATGACATGAATCATTTTGATCATTGTGTAAGTGCTAGGGCGTCCCCTGGAAGCGACACGCTGTATAACCTGAATATTGTGAAAAGTGTGCAAGGACCGCTATACCGGCGCCCGGGTGTAGTGTTAAATAAAGTCCACATTACGGGCGTATGCGGGTAATGTAGTCCATGAAACTAACCCATGAAACTAACGAAACTAATATTAGGATATGATCTTGAAATATAGGTACTCTCAATGGTAAATTAATAGAATTAGTTGATATTATGATTCATAAGAAAATTAATATTTTATGTATTCAAGAAACAAAGTGGGTTGGAGAAAAGACTAAGGAGATTGATAATTTATGTTTTAAATTTTGATATTCTGGTAAGAGTCACACTATAAATGATGATGGAGAATTATTTATATGCTATTAATTTTAGTTTTTGTAGACATTTTGTAAAAATTAATAGAGTTGGAGATG